TCTCGACGCCCTGGGACCCGACGGTGATGATGTTCGACGCGAGCCTCTACGGTGGTGCACTCATCTCTACGGCGGCCACGGTGGAGGAGCAGCGTCGAGAGGCCCGCTATGCTGTTTGAGGAGGCTGGACCGTCTGGGCGGGTATCTCCTCGTCCTGGGCGGCGGACGCTTGGTGCGAGGGGGAGGCCTTCAGACGCGTGGGCGGCGACGTGGAGTTGGGCACCCGGATCCGCGTTCCTCCTGTGCACGAGTGCTAGGACGACATCACCCGGTGGAAGGAGGTTGCGCGCTGGAGATGGGAAGAGAAGGAGCGCATCAACCTGCTGGAGATGCGCACGGGGGTGGCCGCCGCGAGGCACTCGGCCCACAGCCGCTCGAGCTGGGGCAGATCGGCCAGTCGGCCCATCCTGATTCTGTGCAGGAGGATGGCCGCCCTCGACCTCGGGTGCGGCATGCGGGAGTACTGGTGCTGGGTGCCGTCGGACCGCAACCACCGCGACGGGCCGAGCCGGGGGTTCCCGATTGGTCAGGCCCCGAAGGAGCGGAGGACGGACGAGCGAGTGCTGCCGGAGAAGGTGGCGTCGAGGATAGAGGCCCTTGCGGACTTGGCGGAGGTGGGCCCCTTCCAGCCGCTCAGGATGGGTGTCTCGATCCCGGTGAAGGTGCTGCGCTTCGTCCACCGCTGCAGCGGCCACACGCGCATCGGGGACCTGGAGGACTGGTTGTTCAGGATCTCGGGCTCGTGGGGCTACCTGATGATCTGCGCCAACGTGGGCATCGGCTTCGGCGCAGAGTTCGACCGGACGGACGAGGTCAACGTGCGGAGGCTGGAGCTGCTGGCGGAAGTGGAGACAGACGGCGGACGTTCAGGCCCTTCATGCTCTACCTGGTCGCGGGCTCGCTTCCAGCCTGGAGGCTCGACCAGGGCGGCCCAGGCGTACTCGTCCGACTTCTGCAGGATGTTGGCGGAGTGCCTCGTGGACGCGAGGCTGACCATGCAGGAGAGACGGGAGGCCGACCTGACCGAGAGGGCCGAGGAGCAGTTGGTCTCAGAGACCATGGAGCGCAGGCGCCGAGACGCTACGTCGTTGGAGTCACTACCTGCCTTTTTCCTTCGAGCATCTGGCGGACCGAGGGTGAAGGCCCATCCGCGATGGGCCGGCCACCGCCCATGCCCGACGATGCTCGAGTTCAAGCTGTACAAGACTACGCAGACATGATGCAAGACCTACGGGACTGGGCTCATCAGTGGTACAGCGACCTCCCGCAGAGGGCTACCGACAGCACCGAGTGGCAGGAGTGGTGCGTGGCTTTCATGACGGATATGCTCCTGAGTGGTGCCGACGAGGCCCTGAGGCGCCTACTCATCAACGGGCTCCCTCGCCACACGATCGCGGACATCATCAGGGACCTCTGCAGCAGCGCGTGGAGGCTTCGTCACCACGATCAGCATCGCAAAAGGGGCAACACCCACCGCAGGAACGACGCGGAGCGCTTGCACCTGCCGCGGGCGCCGCGGCGGGAGGGAGCGACCCATGGGCTGGCCCTCCTGCCGTTCTCGGTCTCCACCAAGACGGCGCTGGGCTGCGACGTTCCCGACGTGCGCCGCTTCCTGGGCTTTGCGCTGGAGGGGAACCTGCCGATGATGAAACGGGAGGAGATCGACGACTCGGTCCTTGGCTACTTGGACCGCCTGGTCGAGGACGAGGAGGTGGGCTCGCAGAGGAGATTTCGTGGTGCACGGGCTCGCCTCCGTGTGGCCTGAGCTCTCGACAGGGTGGCCGAGGTCCAACCGAGCACTTCGAGCTTGGGATCGACTGCCCGTTGCAGGAAGCGGACCTCAGCCCCTCGAGCTCTGGGCCGTGCTGGACGAGGCCATGAGGCTGGTCGGGAACGTGGGGGCCTCGGACGCCGCCGAGCTCGCCCTGGACGCCTACCTCAGGTCCGGGGAGCTGTTCGCCCCCCAGGTGGCCGACACCGTGATCGACGTGGGCGAAGCGGGTGAGCAGGTCGTGGCCCTACGACTCGGTGTGGCAGAGCGCGGCGAGAGGACCAAGACGGGCGTGAGGCAGGATGTGCTGATCGACCGTCGGCATGTGAGCGACATGCTCGTGCGCAGGAAGGCCGAGCGAGGCCCCTCGGACCGGGTCGTCAGCTGCTCTGGGGACGCCTACCGCCGTGCTCTGAGGCGGGCCTGCGACGATGTTGGCGTCGAGCACTTCCGCCCCATGCGGCCAGGCACTCAGGTCCGAGCCATGATGCGGCGACGGGCTACAGGACGGTTTGGGCTATCCAGCGGCGCGGGCGGCGGGCGTCGGAGAAGAGCGTGCTCAGGTACCTGAAGACGCACGCTCTGCTGGCCGCCCGCGTCGCTCTCCCGCCAGACATCCTCGAGCGCGGGGGACACTTGATGGAGAAGAAGAGTTGTCGCCCGGCAAGGGCTCGTGAGTGATGCAGTTTGTGCAGTTACTGATCTCATGATTTTTTGGAGCCTCATCGAGGCAGTGAACGTGTGACGGCTTCTGGAGGCGCCACAGACCCTCCCACCCAGCCCAGGCGCCACCAACAGCCAGGCGCTAGTGCAAACTAAGCGGTGGTGTGGGACAAGATACGGCGTCCGCTTCAATAATTTGTTGTGTGCTCGGACGCCGCCGCCGCCCGTGGCGGCATCGTGCTTACGGTTCAGGTAGAAAAGAAAGCGAGTTTCTATTTAGGCTGGCGCCACCTTCCGCCGCCCCCTGCTTGGAGAGAGTTGGTGACCTCGTGCCTCTAAATGTGTGTTGTTGTAAACAATGAAGTTTTCGGGCCGTGGTCCTCTCTCTCCTCCCCCTCCCCCGTCTTCCAAGTGGTCGGCGGGGCAGGGAAGGCGGGGGCGGCGCAAAGTCAGGGGGCGCCGTTCTGACATAACACGTTATGTTTGTGTTCTCCGCTCAAGTTCTCCCTTCCTCCCGTCCCTCTTTCGCTCCCCGTTCACTCGCCTCTTCACAGCTCTGTGGGGACAAGATACGGCGTCCGCTTTAATATTTTTTTGTGTGCTCGGACGCCGCCGTCACATTTCGCCGCCGCCCGTGGCGGCATCGTGCTTACGGTTCAGGTAGAAAAAAAAAACGAGTTTCTATTTAGGCTGGCGCCACCTTCCGCCGCCCCCTGCTTGGAGAGAGTTGGTGACCTCGTGCCTCTAAAGAACAGTTTCCGAGGATGTCTCAGGCGAGGCGCTGGTTTCAGCACTCCCAAGGAGGGCGCCATGGGGTATTGCACGGGCACGTTCTCGTCTTCACGGATGGATTATCCTGACAGGTGCTCATAGGGAAAGGAGGAGACGGAGGAGGAGGAGGAGGAGGAGGAGGAGGAGGAGGAGGAGGAGGACGGAAGGAGGAAGCAACTACTTAAAGTCGTCGTAGTCGTCGGCGTCTCTCTCGGCCTCGTTTTCCACGTGGATTCGCTGGCACTCTGATATTGAAAAGGGAAAATGTATTCTACCGAAGTTTGCCATCACTATGAGATGCACATATGGGGATCTCCGCGTCGAGTAATTTTCTCCTCTCGGCTATCTCGGTGCACACTCTTCGCCGACGTTGCGCAGGCTTCGCTGGGCGCCCCAGCACATGAAGCAGCTCCCCAGGGCCGTCGGGGAACAAGCAAGCTGCGCGCGGCGCCCGCAGGCAGGCCCGCTTCTCCGCTGGTGTGCCCGCTGCCGAAGCGCGCGGGCACAAATGCTGAGGCCATCCATCTTCGCGCTTCGCGCCGCGCACTGCGCGAACTCTGCCGATCTTCGCGCCCTCGCGCGGCCCACGGAGAAGGGCGGCTCCCCGGCCAGGGCCGCAGAGCTCGAAGCGCGGCCATCCTCGCGCCCCCCGCGCGGGACCCAACACGGCCGACGCCAGCGGCGCCGCCGAGGGGCGAGCGCCGGGAGCCACGAGGGCCTCGAGGCCCCTCTGGGGCCCGCGCTTAACGCTCTCCCCCCCCGTCGGGAGAGCGGGCGATCACGGCACGGCCAGCAGAGGGGTGGGGAAATTCGGGATCAGCCGATGCCTCGCGTGCCGGTGCCGCGCGTGCCCCCCAGTGCAGGAGGAGGTCGAGCGTGCCCCAAGGCTTCGTCCGAATTGCCGACGGCCGAGGCCACCCAGCCCCGCGCCCAAGACTGTTCGTGGGGACATGGAAGAGGAAGCCGCACAGCGACACGCTCAATGGACGCCGCGGCGCAGAGCAGGCGCGCACGGGGCGCTCAAGGAGCGGCGATCGGGCCAGCACAGATCCGAGTGCTGTCGAAGAGAAAGGGGCCAAGAGACCCTGGCTCTAACTTCCGAGTCGGGTGGGAGCCTGAGCTCAGGCCTGCACCTGACAACCCGCAAGCTTCTGCAGGGCCCTCTGGACCCCGAAGGACCAGCTCCTGGGAAGGCGCTCTAAGTGAAGCCAAGCAACCCCCTCGGGCGCACATAGACCTTACCCAGGCAGATGATCAGCCGACTCTTGTTACCTCTGGGCCCGCCTCCCGCCTCCCCCACTGATCCATCTTCCTCTCGAGACGCGTCATGAAGCCCCCGAGAACCGTGGAAAACCCCCTCCTCCCAGTCCTCCCCCCTCTCCCTCCTGTCTGGTTGGCTGCTCCTGGGCCCCCGGTGTGGCCCGACCCACCTGCCACGCGCACGAACGGCCCCAGGCAAGAGGGACCCTTGGCGCGCGGCTTGCTGATCGCTGCAATGCGATGCGGCGGTCCTCGTGCTTGGGTTACCCCCCCCCGAGAGCCGCGCACCAAAGGTCACTCTGTCGAAGCGTCACTCGACCCTCGGGATGTAACTTGGGAATTCGACGGCCGGTCGGAACGATCTGGGCGCCCCCATGGAACTCTCTCAGCGGGGCGCAGCTGCTGGAACGCATCCCGAGGCAGGACCCCCCCCCCAGGAACCGACGACAACGTCCGAGAACGGTCCGCCGCGCAGCGAAGGTCACTCCGGCGAAAGGCCACCCTTGCGTTGCGCAACCGAACCCACCACCCCGTCCTCGAGAGACAGGAGCAGCACCCGGCTGCCGCCCTCCTCGTGCTGGAACCTCTCGATCGTGCGCTGGCGCGCGAAGACGCCACCTCGGAGGTGCTCAAAGGCCATGTTGGACTCCTCGAGCGCACCAGCCACCTTGAGTGGAGGGCAGACGGGGGGGAGGAGGAGGAGGAGGAGGAGAGGAGGAGGAGGAGGAGGAGGAGGAGGAGGAGGAGGAGGAGAGGAGGGAGGAGGAGGAGGAGGAGGAGGCAAAGCGTCCGCAGGGGAGAAGGAGGATGAGCATGGGTAAGCTTGGGATGAGGAGGACCGCTTTTGAGCGGACTTTGAGCCACCTTTCGCTTGAGGTCCTCCCACTGTACGAACAGGATGACCTTGGCAGATGGCTCGCGCTCCTTCGGGGTGCCGCTGAAGGGCGGGGTAGGGCACCGAGGGGGGCCCTACCATCAGGAGGAAGGCCCTAACCCTAAGCTTTGACATTTTTCGCGGGCGGCATGGAGCGCAGGGGCCGTGGGCGTCTCGCTGGCCTATGGTCTCAGTCTGGGGGTGCTAGTGGCTTTTGCAAAGGTGCTGGCCGCCCCTGTGTCTGGCCGCATGTCGCGCCAGGCACGGTGTCGGAAGGGATTCCGACACCTTAGACATGGTCTGCCCCGCATCTCCCGAGCCCACGCCGACCTTTCTTGCCGCAGTGCTCCGCCCCCCCTGCTCAAAGCCAGCTCGACATCGGCTTCACATACCACTCCTGGACTCCATCCTGGTAAATTCTTATAATTTGTCGTCCTCCTCCTCCTCCTCCTCCTCCTCCTCCTCCTCCTCCACCCCCTCCTCCTCCTCCTCCTCCTCCTCCTCCTCCTCCTCCTCCTCCTAGGCTGCCGTGGGGAAGTTCGAAGTCTTACCAAACCGCCAGGAGGGCACACAGTTCCGCCCACCGCAACCTCGGCCCAACTCTCGCCTTCAGCCAAGGGGGGAGGCAGGCATTTCGAGCTGTTAGATGAAAACTATTGTGTTGCCTCTCCTTGTGATGAAACTAGTAGTAGTTAACCCGCTCGCAGCATCGGCCAACGAACGACTGGATGACATCAGCCAAGAGCTGAAACAGTGGGACGTTGTAGTACTGAACGGTGCACAGAAGTGGACAGGAGCGGAGGGATGTTTTACGACGAGTATACACCAGCATTCTGCATTGAATTCTTGGGGGGGGGAAGGAGGGCTAGCCACAGTATTATGTGGCACAGCTATTCTGTTCTCCCCCTTGATACGCAGTGAAGCGCTCGTCGTCGTCGTTGCGTGGCCGAAAAAAGGGGGGACCTGCCGCGGCGCCGGCCTGTCCGGGCCGTCGCAGCGGGCCAGACGAGAGAGAGCGTGATCCACCGCCGCTTTACTGTGGAAAATTGCCCCCCTCTTCCTCCGGAACCCGGGGGTCCCCCCCCCCTCCGAAAATTTCCCCCCCCCTGCTGGACCCCCCCCCCCTCCTCCCCTCCCCCGGCAAAACCTCCCCCTCCCCTAACCCCTCCCCCCCCCTCCCCCTCGAAAACCGGGGGGGGTCACTACCGGTTCGAACCCCCCCCCCCCCTCGAAAACCGGGGGGTGTCACTACCGGTTCGACCCTCCCCCCCCCCCCCACTCACCGCCAGCAAACGACTCCCGGTCCCTACCACCGTCCGCGCCACATCCCCCACTGTTGTTCCCAGCACCACTGTCCTCACCACCACTGTCCCCACTGGTTCCACCACCGTCCCTACTGTCCCCACCAGTGTGCTCCCACCACTGTCGCACTGTCCCCACTGTCCCCACCACTGTTCCCACCACGGTTCCACTCTCCCCACTTTCTCCACGGCCCCAACCACTGCCCGACTATCCCCACTGTCCCCACTGTCCCACTGACTCCTCCGCTGTCCCACTGAGCTGTCCCACTGTTCCCACCACTGTCCCCACTGTCCCCACCACTGTCCCCACTGCACCTCTGTCCCATTGTCCCACCGCCGTCCTCGCCACCGCCTTCACCACTGTCCCCACCACCACTGTACCCTCCACTGTCCCACTGTTTCCACCTCCCCCTGTCCCCACACCACTGTCCCCACCACCACCGTCCCCACCACTGTCCACTGTCCCCACTGTTCCCACCATTGTCCTCACCACTGTCCCCACCACTACAGTCCCCACCACTGTCCCACTGTCCCCACCACTGTCCCGCTGTCCCCTCACCACTGTCCCCACCACCACCGTCCCCACCACTGTCCGCACCCCTGCTCGGTTTTCGAGGAGGGACGGGGGGGGGGGCTCGAACCCGTAGTGACCCCCCCCGGTTTTCGAGGGAGGGGGGGGGTTCGAACCGGTAGTGACCCCCCCCCCCTTTTCATGATGAACTGGTGGGGGGGGAGGGGTTCGAACCGGTAGTGACCCCCCCCGGTTTTCTGGAGGGGGTGGGGGGTGGGGGGAGGGGTTCGAACCGGTAGTGACCCCCCCCGGTTTTCCGCCAGCAGCGGAAGAACACGCTCTTTCTAAGACGACGCTGAGTCGGGCAGGCGGACCCTGGGCGGGTCAGGTCGGGCGGGCGGAACATTAAAATGTGATGCACATTCGAGTGAGCACGCGTGAGCCCTGGCGTTCGGGTTGGGTCGGGCAGGTGTACCCAAACGGGCGGGTCGGTTGGGCGGGCAGACCCTACGTGGGTGGGTCGTGCAAGGCTGGCGGGACATTTGAGTGTGAATCTTGCTGGGCGGATTGGGTCGGGCGTGCGCACCCTAACGGCCGCGTCGGGTCGGACGGGCAGATCCTGACGGGCGGGTCGTGTTGCTCCCTCACTTGAGCGAACACGCGTGAACTCTGTTGGGGGGGTCGAGTCGGGCGGGCGCATCCTAACGGGCAGTTCGTGGGTCGGGCGGGCGGGCCCTAACGGGCAGGTCGGGACGGGCGGTCGGTACATGAAAGTATGGTGCGCACTCGACAGAGCACGCGTGAGACCTGACGGGCGGGTCGGGAAGGGCGGGCGCACCCTAAGGGGCGGGTCGGTTCGGACAGGCGGTCCATGAAAGTGTGGTGCACGCTCGAGTGAATGCGCGCGAGTCCTAACGGGCGGGTCGGGGCGGACACGACCCAAACCCTAACGGGCGGGTCGGGTCGGGCGGTCGGGACATTAAAGTATGGTGCGCAACCCAATGAGCACGCGTGAACTCCGACGGGCGGGTCGGGTTGGGCGGGCGCAGCCTGCAGGGAAGACCGGATCGGGCGGGCGGACCCTAACGGGCGGGTCTGGTCGGGCGGGAGGGACATTAAAGTGTGGCGCGCAGTCGACTGAGCACGCGTGAGCTCTGACGAGTGGGTCGGGTCGGGCGGGCGCACCCTTATCGGGCGGGTCGGGTCGGGCGAACCCTAACGGGCGGGTCGGGCGGGCCGGAAATCAAAGTGTGGTACACGCACAAATGAGCACGCGGGCGCACCCTAACGGGCGGTTTGGGCCGGGCGGACGCACCCTAACGGGCAGGTCAAGTCGGGCTGTCGCACCCAAACGGGCGGGTGGGGTGGGCAGGACATTAAAGTGCGGACACACTCGAATGAACACGCGCGAACCCTCACAGGCGGGTCGGAACAGGCGCGAACCCTCACGGGTTGGCGGACCCGAACGGGCGTGTCGGAACGGGTCAGGCGGGCGGACCCGAACGGCCCCTTAACGGGCAGGTAGGGTCGGGCGGTCGGACGGCGAGGGGGGACGGCGGCGACCGCGGCTACAGCGACGGCGACGGCGACGGCGACGGCGACGACGACGACGACGACAACAGTGACGGGCGCGACGGCGACGACGATGGCGACGACGGCGGCTGCGACGAGGGCGACGGCGACGGCGGGAGGGAAAGAGAAAAAGCGGTAGTGAGGGATGAGAGGAAGTAGAAGGGATGAGGTATGAGGGAGAGAGGGACGAGGGATGAGGGATGTAGGGATGAGAGCAGGCGGCAGGGAGGGAAGAGTGAAGGAAGTATGAGGGATGAGGGGAAGTCACAGAGACGAGGGATGAGGGAGGGCGGGAGAAGCAGAAAGAGGAGGAGGAGGAGGAGGAGGGGCAGGAGGAGCAGCAGCGTGAGGAACGAGGGAGAGTAGCAGGAAGGAGACCAGCAGCAATAAGTAGAGAGAAGAAACGTTTCTGCCGAAGCAAGCTTCTGCAGGAGCCGGCCTCTGCGCTGGAGCGGGCTTCTGCCGAAGCGGGCTTCTGCCGGGGCGGTTTCTGCCCGAGAGAGCCTCTGCCGGAGCGGGCTTCTGCCGGAGCAGGCTTCTGCCAGAGAGAGCGGGCCTCTGCTGGAGCGGACTCTGCCGGAGAAGTCTCTGCTGAAGCGGGCTTCGGCCGGAGCGGTCTTGTCTCTCTTTCCGTGGGTTCCTGGGGCCTGCAAAGAAAGAACCCTTTAGCTACTTCGCAGTTCGCGCCCCACATCAGAAAGAAGCGACAACTGGGAGCGAGACGTCTTGCAGAGCCTCCCCCCACCTCAAATAAGGCTACTCCTCCATATCCTCCTCCTCCTCCTCCTCCTCCTCCTCCTCCTCCTCATCATCATCATCATCATCATCATCATCATCATCATCGTCATCATCGTCATCATCCTCCTCCTCATCATGATGATCATCATGATCATCATGACCATGATGATGATCATGCATCATCATCATCAGCATCATCATCACCAACACCATCACCATCACCATCACCATCACCATCACCATCACCATCACCTTCACCGCCACCATCATCATCATCAGCATCACCATCATCATCACCATCATCATCATCAGCATCATCGTCATCGTCATCGCCATCGTCATCGTCATCATCATCATCATCATCATCATCATCATCATCATCATCACAACCACCACTACCACTACTACCATCATCATCAGCAGCAGCGTCAGCATCAGCAAGAGCATAATCATCATCATCATCATCATCCTCATCATCCTCATCATCCTCATCCTCATTATCCTTATTATCATCCTCATCCCCATCCTCGTCCTCCTCCTCATCATCATCATCAAAACCATCAGCAACATCAGCATCAGCAGCAGCATCAACGTCATCAGCAACATCCGCATCCGCATCCACATCCGCATCATCACCACCACCACAGTCATCATCATCAGCATCATCATCATCAACAGCAGCAGCAACAACATCACCATCACCATCACCATCGCCGTCACCATCACAATCACCGTCACCATCCTCATCCTCATCCTCATCCTCATGATCAGCATAATCATCATCCTCATCATCGTCATCATCAGCAGCATCATCACCAGCAGCAGTACCATCGTCAGAAGCATCCCTCCTCTTTCCCCTCATCCCAAGCAATCCCTGATGAGGATCACCCAGCGGGGAGAGCCGCAACTTCGCAATTCAAGGGGGGGCGGATGGGGGGGGGCGGGCGCGCACCCTTCAGAATCCGCAGAAACCCCCAAAACATCAAAGAACCTGCTCGATCCTCGCTTCTCCCTCGTCCTCCTCCTCGACCTGGGGTCCTGGGGAGGTGGTGGCTCCTATAGCCCCTCCTCCCCCTCCTCGAAGGCTCGCGCTCCTGCAGCGAGGCCAGGAAGTTAAGGAGCTTCGTGATCTTGGAGCCTGTAGGAACGCGGACTTCTTGTGACGGCGCTGGGCCTCCCTCCCACACCCCTTGGCGCTGGGGGCGGCTCCAGGGGCGGCGCTGGAGGCGCCGCCCGAGATGGCGGGGAGGGGGGTCCGACGCCGACTTCAGAAATCCTCGCGGACCTCCTGAAGGGCATGTTGATGCCGTCCCAGAAAATCCAAATCCTTCAATTCGTAGAGCCTCAATTGGAGGAACTATAGCTTCCAGAATGTAAGACATATTAGCCGGCGTGGACCCCAATAAATGGCTTCTTGCACTCTCGATGTGCAACCTTTTTGGTGCAATATGTGCACGGTGCAACCTCTTCGTTGCATTCTTGACGGTGCAATATTCACGATGAAATTTGCGTGGTGCACGAAAATCAAGCTCCATATAATTCTGAATATATTGGCGCAGTCTACGGGGCAGCATGCACTTGCACGAAGCGGCCACGAGAGGGCAGTGGGCGATTGTGGCGTCCCAAACCCGGGTAGCAGCGTACTCCAAAGCGCGTGAAGCACCTGTGAAAAACGACAGCAAGGACGCTTGAAAGAATGTCTGGGGAGCTCGCAAGCTCGAGAAAGGACACTTCGCAGGAGCTCTCAAGAACTTCGGAGGAACTGCGGAAAGGCATCCCGGACACGTATTGGGAACGAGTCGGAAAACGCTTGCCCGAACCCGCTGCGAGTTCAAGCAAGCCGCGGCGAGGCTTACCGGCGCTGGAAAGAGCTCCCAAGCTATCCTACGGTACCGGCTTCTAATCTGAAACCCTCGTAGCTCTCAGAGAGCTATCCGGGAAACAAATTCGTCAAAGCCAACTGGCCCGGTGATGCGGCAGTACTACTCTTAGCTTCCGCTGCTTCAGCTTTACGAGTCAAGCTTGCAAGCCTTAGAGAAGAGTTCCGCAAGAGATCCCAAAAAACTTCGCAGGAGCTGCGGAAAGGCTTCCCGGAAACGTATTGGGAACGAGTAGGAAAACGCTTGCCCGAACCCGCGGCGAGAGGCTTCTTGAGCGGCGCCGGAAAGAGCTCCCAGGCTATCCTGCGGTGCCGGCTTCTAATCTGAAACCCTCTCAGCTCTCAGAGAGCTATCCGGGAACAGTGCGAAAGCGCAAGCCACCGCACAAAGCTGCCACGCGGGCACTGGGCGACAGTCCCAGGAAACCCGTAATGCAAGCACTGGTCGGGGAAAACGCCTCCAGAGTGAAGCCGAATTTCCGCGCTAGAAGTTTTCGATGCTTTGGGTTTTTGTTGGGACAAGGGGCCTTCTCCCAGGACCACTTTGTCATTCCGAATCGTTCTCTGAGGGTCCTGGGGCTCGGGGGGGGCCCCAGATGCCCGAAAACGGCGAAACACCTCTGGACCCGTTTCCCTCCAGAGTCGCTTGCGTTCTGGCACTTTCTGTTGTTCCTCGAGAGCCATATCGACCGCACTCGCCCGCCGGCCCGCCGTCGGCGCCCAAGTGCGCCTCCAAGCGCATAACCTGCCGGGGCGTGGCGGAGGCCCGGCACACTGGGCAGCGCGCGTCCCGGCGGACCGCCTCCTCGACGCAGGAGGTGCAGCCGAGGTGGGCGCAGGGGAGAACGCAGCGCAGCGCCAGCGGGATGTCCTCCAAGCAGATCGGGCACCTCGCGCGGGGATGCCGGGACAGTGCGCCGCAACGCCGGAGCGATAGGCAGATTAATCCGAGGAAGGGGGACCAGGAAAAGGAGGACTAGCGCGTCATGGAACGAGGCATGAGCGCGGACGAAGAAAGGCCCAGAACCGTGTTGAGAGGAGATATGCAGCAATACAAATAAAATCAATCGTGGTCAACATAATCACAATCATCACCACAATCATTCATACCCCGGATCATGATCATATTCATAAGCATAATGAGAAGCATACGACTCCTACGACTGCCACTACTACTATGACTACTATGACTACTACTAGTACTACTAGTAATACTAGTACTAGTAGTAGTACTACTACTACTACTACTACTACTACTACTAGCACTACTACTACTATACTACTACTACTACTACTACTACTACTACTACTACCACTACTATTACTACTACTACTACTACTACTACTACTACTACTACTACTACTCTACTGCTACTACTACTACTACTACTATTACTATCACTATGACGACTACTACTACTACTACTACTACTACTACTACTACTACGACTACTACTACTACTACTACTACTACTACTACTTGCGGTCGCGTGCGCCACGTCACCACAGCCCGACCGCGTTGGGGCGAGCGTCCTGCGGCTGCCCCATTACCCTACAATGAGACACGCGCCAAGTGGGGCGCGAAGAAAAGCGGGGCACACGCCGTGGATTGACGAAGCTGCAGCGTCGCGGCCACGGCCCATCAAGATGAGACTGGTCCACGGCAGCCACAGAGCGAACGGCGCACGGGGCTGCGCCAGCACCGCTCGCTCCAGGCGCGACCGCCAAGGCGCATCTAGACGGGCCTGGCCCAAAGCAGCACAGGGCGCGCAGCGCGCCGGGCTGCCCGGCACCGCTCGACCCCTGAAGCGCGGGGGGCCCTATGCGGCAAGGGCCTGCAGGGAGACGCGGGGTAGGGCAAGCTACAATGGCTGGCCACTTAATTGAAATGCCGAGGGCTGCGCGGCAACGCCGCGAACGGCCCGCTGCCCACGGGGCGGCAATAGCGCTGCGAGGCAACATGGGTCGCGCAAGAGAGGCCGCGGCGGAGCCTCAGACTGCCCCAAGCTGGCGCGCCCCGGCAATCATGAACATTGGCGCGGCGCTGACGCAGCGCGCCACGTCAGGGCAGGCGCGCAACCGCTCACTCATTCACTGATTTACTCATTCGGACCATGGGGCCCGGGACCCCTGGGGCCTCAGGGCCGGGCAGCTTTGCGAGGGAAAACCTCGGACGGGAGCGCGCGAGCCGCCCCGCCCCGCTGGCTGCCCTCCACCGCGGGGCCAAACAGCTGCGACTCGACGTCTGGCGGTGGGCCCGCAGGCGGCGGCGCCTCCGCGTTGGTCAGCGCCGCAGGCGCAAGTGGCGGCGGCGGCGGTCCCGCCGCCCCTGCGCCACTCACCCCCTGGCCCACCTGCCGCCCGCCGCGGGGGGAGCACTCGGGGCTGCCTCTGCACTCCTCCCGCCGGCAAGGCTGCCGACGTCCAACTTGTGACGCTGCTCGTAGCTCAGCATCGCCACCCCCGCCTCATCGAGCCTCTCGCGCTTCATCCTGTCCCTGGGCCTCTTGCTGTAGCCCGCCCACGCAGGGTCATTGAGCCCCCATGCTATCTTCGAATATTTGTCGCGCCAGGCGAACTCAGGAATCTTCTCCCACGTCATGTCGTTCATCAATACCAAATACCAAATGGCCATCCCTTGCTTCTGTTCCGGGTACTTCCCGGACACTGCGCCCGCTGCTAAGGGCTCTACCTGCGGAAGGTGTCGCAACGCATCCGCGGGATTGATCGCCGTGATGCCGTCATTTCTTATCCGCCCGCAGCAGGGCCATCAGACCCCTGATGCCCTCCTCGGGGAACTGGGCTTGTAGGCGCCACGCCTTCGGAGGCTCGGCAGCGCGGTCAGTCATCTCGACGCGCGCGCCGAAGGTCGTCGCGCACCGAGCTCCGCAGCGACAGCCCCACCGCTGGCCACTGTGCCGCCCCCCCGCCTCTTTTTCAAGGGAGAGGAGCTGCGTCCAACGGTCCGCGCGGATCACGGCCCTGCGCCGTCCTGGGTTGTCCCAGGTCTTCTTTGCATTGCACGTGTAGTACATGTTCATCGTGAACTGGTCGTCCGTGAAGAACTGGTCGGAGTAGTCGGCCACCCTGCGGTGGGCTTCCTGCGCGGCTGCATCGCCGCCCGCCTCTTCCCTGAAGGCCCGCTGGTTGCCCGGGTGCGCGGCCGCCCGTTCGCGCGCCTCCAGCAGGCCTTTCTTGCCCTCCTCGGCCGCGCGCGCGGCTTCCCCCCTTCAACTTCAGCTCGCAACTCGCGGCCATCCTCTACCGCGGCGCCCAGCTTCTCGAACCAAGCCCCCGCGCCCTTCGCGCAGCCCACGTCGCGCACCATGTCACCCTTCTTCCTGAGAGTGGCCCCGAGGGCCCCCTTCGCGTGGGCCCGCAGGGTCTCGTACCGCACCATGGCGCAGCACCTCGCTATCCGCTTCAGCGTCTTCTTGGAATAGCCCATGCTGATGAGGGGGTGGGCGTCTGCGACGTCCAACGCCAGCTTCCCGTCGCGGCCGCTGGGCTCCTCTGACGCTTCGGAGCGCGGTGTCGCCGTCATCTCCCAGTCGGCCGCGCTGTCTTCGGCTGGTGGCGGAGGCGCGCGGGGCTCCCCCAGCGCCTCCGCCGCCGCCATCGGACGCCCGACCTCTCTTGTGACTTCCTCCGCGGCAGCTAGCGCCACCGCGCTGGATTTGTCGACGCCTACTTGAGCAGGCCGAAGGATTTTCCTCTTGAGGCCCGCATGACACATGCGACGTGTCGTTGACTCTTAGCGGATACGGACGCAACGATCATATCGCGCTCGCGTCGAAGTGGGGCGCGGCATATGTTATGGGGGGCTGCGGGAGTTGGCCAGGCCCGCTGCGGCGCCCGAGCACCCGCATGTCATGGGGGCTGCGGGAGTTGGCGGGGGCAGCTGTGGCGCTTGAGCAACGACATGTTATGGGAGGGGTTCGGGGAGGTGGCCAGGCCCGCTGCGGCGCTCGAGCTCCCGACTTGGGCACCGCAGTCGTTCTCCCTCCTCCTCCCTCCCCCCTCATCCGCCTCTTCCGTCCTCTCTCCTCGTCCGCCTCCATCCTCGGCAGGGAAACCCCTCCCCCGTAGAATCATAGCTTGGGCTACAGGTCCAAGGCTCCGTGGATCCATTTCCCCCTGGGCCCTTTGCATCAACTATTATTACCTATACGACCACCCTTCGGGTGATGGGGAGGTTCGGGGGGGGGGGGGGGCGCCGTCTCACTCGATCGGTCTCACCATCGATCTCACTATCGATCTCACGATCGGTCTCGCTCGATCGATCTCACTCGACCGATCTCACAACCGATCTCACTCGATCTGTTTCACTCGATCGATCTCACAATCGATCTGACAATCGGTCTCACGATCGATCACACTATCTATCTCACTATCGATTTCACTGTCGATCTCACATGCGGTCCTTCTATCGATTTCACAATCGGAATCACAATCGGTCGCGCAATCAACGTCATCGTCCGCATCATTCACATCATTGCCATCAACGTCATCATCAACATCATCATCATCGAAACACCATCATCATCATCATCACCATCATCTCATCACCGTTACTACCAACATCATCATCGTGACTCAATCATCGTCAGCATCACCATCATCAACATCATAATCTATCATAATCATCAGAAACCTCACCATCACCAACACCATCTCCACCGTCATCATTGGAACACCATCGTCATCGTCACCATCATCATCATCACCAGCATCACCATCATCGAAGCACCATCATCAACATCAACATCATCATCATCACCATCATCGGGCCACCATCATCGAAGCCATCATCATCACCTCATCATCATCCTCACCACCAACATCAGCATCATCAACATCATCGGGACACCGTTATTGTCATCATCATCACCATCACCATCACCGGGAAACCATCATCATCACGATCTTCATCAACAGCGTCATCATCAAACTCATCATGACCATCATCGGGAGACCATCCTCACCATCTTCACCATCACCTCACCATCATCTCATCATCAGCATCACCATGATCATCAATATCATCAGCATGCTGACGCAATCATCATCATCCGCAACATCATCATCGTCAACATCATCACCGTCGAGACACCATCATGATCACCACCACAACCATCACCATCATCATCATCATCATCAGCATCAACATCGTCAACCTCATCATCATCGGGACACCATCGTCATCGTCACCATCATCATCATCACCAGCATCACCATCATCGAAGCACCATCATCATCATCATCATCATCATCATCATCGGGACGCCGACGGGACACCGGCGGGACACTGGCGGGGCACCGCGCCCCACCGGTTGCCGGCAGGGAGTCATTTGGTCCGGCCGCGCCTCAGCCACAGGAGACTTCCCGCTCGCCCGCCCACGCAGCTTCGCCTCGTCCGCGCGCGCGGCAGGCCGGAACGCGAAACCGAAATGCATTTCCCGGTTGGGTGGCTCTCCGCTCCACTTCGATCTCACCCCCTTCACCTCCGATCTTTTTGCCCACGGGGCCGGTGGCAATGACGAGTGAAAAAAATGACGCGACGAGCCCAGAGCCTCCGCGCGCACCTGGCTGACTCGCGCCTGGGCCCCGCGAGCGACCGCGCCAACTCAGTCGACCAGAAAAAGAGCAGGAAGAAGAGGAAGAGGAGGAAGACGAGGGCGAGAACGGGGGCAAAGAGTGCGCCACCTCAGGGGCCAGCCTCCAATCGACGATAGGCTGGATCACGCGGAATTGACCTGCCCACTATCGCGGACGTCGGCCAGCACGGGCCTACCAATGCAAATTCCCACTGAAAACGCATCTGTCAGATCGGGCCAGTGTTGCGCTCAAAACTCGATGGCTCCAGCGGTCCGTCCAGAGGTCCAGCCTA